AGGGGTGCCACCAGGGGACTTGTCAAGGGCAGTTCGCTCCACTGAGGGCATCTGTCTGGGGGCCTTCGTGATGCTCTGTGATGCTGGCGACAGCCCTTTTGATATGGTTTCGTCTTGTTCAATTGCAGGAGGTTTCTGATGGCCGCGCGAGTAGACATGGGATTGGAATCGTTGAAAGGCTCCTGCCTCACTTCCAGAGTCCTCTCTCCTGTGCCCCCATCCCGTGGTTTGGGGCACAGCCCCCAGGATGCAGCTCTTCATGGCTTGGCAGCTAAGTTGGAAGACTTTGCTTGGTTGACCAGTCTCTTGCTGTGTGGCTCCACCGCAGGATACAGGCTCTGCTCTCGAGATCTTCCACGTCTGCTCCCTTCGCCCAGCTGAGATCCATGACAGCCTGACAACAGTCACCCAGTTGTCTTCTTTCCAAGCCTTTGTGGTTCCCCAGGAGATGGTCCAAACCCCTCTCAGATTCTGGTCTGTCTCTTGGGACATGCTTCTTGCCAGTAATTCAGATGCTTGAGCCCAGAGGCTGCAGGCTTGGATAGCCCGCCTGTCTGTCCACATCTAGTTGGGAGCAGCCACACGTGTGGGTACCCATGCTACCTGAAGACACGTGCGGTTGATGTCACCCCCGATCCTCTGTGACCTGCGCCTGTGCTGCAGCTGTGCTCAGCATCGCCACTTCCCCTTTCGGCCACTGTCCTGCTTGTCCACATCTCTTGAAGCCTCCACGTCACCACCCCCTCCCTTGGCTGCCCCTGGATCCCTGCCCCAGCCCACAGTTGCTTCCGCATCTCCATCCTCACAGGGCTCCGGGCCGAACTCCAGGTCACCGAATCAGTCATCAGATGGGCAAGTCAGCCCTGTGGTCAGGCTCAGGAATCACTGGATGTTCCTCCGTGTCTTCTCAAAGCCCCTGTGCGCACACTCAAGCAGTTTGGTACCTCGTCCAAGACATCATGTGGTTTCCAGAGTACTGGGGGTCCCCATGGTTGGTACAGTGATGGAAAAGACACGATAGTTGCTCGTTACTGCCAGTGCAGCACCGACTGACTCGTGGGGACCATGAGTGGACGTGTCCTGCTTTGTAATCTGGTCTCATTTCTGCTGGCTGGACACTTCTCTGAAGCCTGCAGGCCCTGGACTTTATCTTCCTCTCCTCTTTGGAAATGCATAACCATGTGCCTTCCTCCATCATATTCTGGATGAGAGGAATGTTCTAGAAGGCTTTGGTTTGCTTTAGTCACAGAGCCTTCACCAAGTCCTTCTTTCTAGTGTGTTTTACGCTGGAAATCCCACGGAAGCCTGTCCACTCTGGGTGACCCTGCTGGTATTTGAATATTGATGTCACAGCTTCCAGCGTCACAGCAACACATCATGCACTACAGATGAGTCTATCTATCTATCTATCTATCTATCTATCTATCTATCTATCTATCTACTATCTATCTATCATCTATCTATCATCTATCTATCTATCTATCTATCTATCTATCTATCTATCTATCTATCTATCATTTATCTATCTATCATCTACCTATCTATCTATCTATCTATCTATCTATCTATCTATCTATCTTCTATCATCTATCATCTATCTATTCCGCCCCCCCAACAAAAAAAAGGAAAAGAGTCCCATTAGGCATTTTGTAGTATGCATTTTCTCTCTAGACGAGCATTGAGCAACTTGCTCTGAGTTAGTACACCCAGTGGCGTCTCCTGGGAAGGTTCTCTCTGGTCACAGTGACTTTTTTGGTAAAAGCAGTTTTACTCAAGTCTTGTTTTTTGTGATGGCTGATTTAAGAGAACAGCGTGAAGCTGTGAAATTTTGTTTCCTGCTCAGGAAAAATGACACCGAAACTGCTGTGATGTTGAACGCAGCTTATAAGGGCAGTGCTATGGGAAAAACTCAAGTGTATGAGTGGTTTTCTCATTTCAAAAAAGGTGAAATGACGAGTGATTTAAAAATAAAAACCCCTCATTCTGGATGTTCTTCAACTTCCCCAACAGAAGAAAATGTCAACTCGTAACTGTTAATCAGTCTTTCTATTTAGAGATTCTGAAAAGATTGCATAACAGTGTGAGACAAAAAGGACCTGATTTATGGCAGAAGGAGGACTGGTTTTGCCACCATGACAATGCACTTGCTCATGCAGCCATCTCAGTGCACTAGTTTTTTTGGACAAACCAGTATGCTTCTCTTGCCCCACGCACCTTACTCACCTGACCTAACTCCATGTGACTTCTTTTTGTTTCCATGAATGCAGAAGGACATGGAAGGACAGCGATTTGATGACATAGAAGACGTGATGGGAAGAAACAAGGAAGGTGCTATCAGCCATCCAAACAGATGAGTTGGGAAAATGTTTCCAAGAATGGAATCACAGAGTTGACAAATATATTAAGTATAGTGGAGAGTACTTTGAAGGCGATAAGGTTGTTTTGTAAAAAAGTTGAAATACATAGCTTTGAAAAAAATTCTGGTTTGGGGCGGTGGGTATCCCCATTGTATGTGTGTGGGTGTGTGTGTGTGTATACACACACATATAAACACACTATGAGTGAGAATTGATTCAATGGCTCATAGAAACCTTAGAACCCACATGTATATACCAGAGGCTCTATTTCTGTAGATGACACTGTTGAGATTCCTGGGGAAGGAGCTGGTATCTGAAGTGAGGGGCAGACCTTGGGCTGAGACCCACACTTGGTACTGGTCCTGCTCTGACTGGAAGTCTGGAGGTGTGGCACACTGGTGACGGGTGTAAAGTCAGGAGATTGCTTGCATCCTCTGGCCGGTGACTGTAGAGGTTGTTTGCAGGTCCCCTCCAGGACACGGGCTCAGGCACTGAATGTCTGTGGCAGCTGTCCCTGCTGGGCCCTCTAGAGCTGAGAACACCCAAGGAAGGGGCTTCTGGAGTCACAGGGCCAAGAACTACCAGGTGGCCCCAGTGAGACATGGTGCCTTGGGACACAGAGCATCCTCAAAGCATGTTTGCTGGACAAACAAGGGAGCAAATAGTGAGCAAGTGATTCTGAAGAACAGGGAGGGAGGGGTTTCTGAGTGATGTCCTCCCAATTACAGTGACATGCTGGGCAGCAAGTAATATAGAAGACTTCCCAGACACCACCAGGAGACAGGCTGGCTACAGCCCAGAGCTGATCCTTCTGAAGAACCCATCGTGTGTACGTTTGGGGCAGCTGGCTCTACCCTATGACCCTCGGTGGGGAGCTGAGTGGCCCCTGTCAGTGATTTGGCTTCCCCTTCACACCTGGCCTAGGTTCCTCCAACCCCCCAGGCCTTGTTCTCCACTGTTCCCATGAGTCTGACATAGGTTGTGACCAGAAGTGTGTGCTGTGGGTGCCACACACAGACAGGCAGGCAGGCAGACGGTGTCCCTCTCGAGGAAAGGTCAATTGGCAATGTCTACATCTCCCCATCCTTCTAAAACTCTGTATCCAGCACGCTCTTTCATGCTTATATTCCCTTTGCTGACGTAAGACTTCTGCTCAAATAGCCTACCTGCTTATCTCCCTTGGTAGGAACCAACCCACTCATCAGATCCCTTCCTGAGGTGGCCTCTGAGGTGACGTAGGAGAGACTCAATGGCATGCTTTGCTTCTCCTGAGCTCATCTGAGTGGTCTTCAGCTTCTACTTGAACTTACAGTCAGTGATGGTCCGTCCTGCATCAGCCCCTGGTCTTGTTCTCCCCGATGACATCCAACTCCACCATGACCTCTCTTCACAGACTGACATCTGTGCCTTCCAACTGGTGAGGCCCACGGTTTAGCCGCTACTTATCGTGTTGAAGAAAGGCACTTGCAATGAAAAGCCACCCGTCTCGCAAGATTCTATCCTGCACTTTCCGGCTTCACTTCTATCACCAAGGTTGTGTTTCTTAACTCCTGATGCTTCCCCTTGGTTTCCAGCTGTGCCTTTCTAATCTCCAGTGGTGATCCACGCAGCTCGATCGCACGTGTGACCCGCTCCAGACTGCAGACGATGGCAGAATCCTTCAGTTTCTTCATGATTGGCGTTGGCGGTGCGTGCAGACATTTGAATATTAGTTACCTTACCTGGTTTTCCTATAGGTGTCGATTATCCCATCACTGAAAGTGGTGTCCTTCAGGACACATCTTAAGGTGTTCTTTTTGATGATGAATGAGATGACGTGCCCTTCACTCTGTCATTCCCAGCACAGCAGATCACATGATCCGCTGATTCAAAACCACCAAATTCAGCCCATTTCAGCTCACCAGTGCGTAGGATGTCTATCTCCAAGGGTTCTGCTTCACGTCTGACGACTTCCAAGGGTCCTAGATTTACACTCAGTGCATTTCATGCTCTGATTATTAAGGGGTGTTTGTGCCTGTTGCTTCCCATTTTGAGTCGTGCCTCATTGGCAAATGAAGGTTCTGAGAGCTTTTCTCCATCCGCGTCTCTAGGGTCAGAGTTCAGTGTGTTCAACCTGAGGGGCGTGTCTGCAGGCACTAATCAGACAATAATCTGATATGATTCATATGGCTTTCATTGGCTTTTGAAATTTTAACAGATCACCAAGTCCTTCTTCCTAGTGTGATTTACTCTGGAAATCCCACTGAAACCTGTCCATCTGGGGGACCCTACTAGTATTTGAAATATTGATGGCATAGCTTCCGACATCACAGCAACACACGATGCACCACAGATGACTGGTGTGTGTGTGTGTGTGTGTGTGTGTGTGTGTGTGTGTGTGTGTACTATAAGTGAGAATTGATTCAATGGCTTAGAACCAACATGTATCTATCAGGGGCTTTATTTCTGTAGACAGTGCTCTTTGAGATTCCTGGAGAAGGAGCTGGTAGCTGAAGTGAAGGGTAGATTGTGGGCTAAGGTCCCACACGTGGTACTTGGCCCTGCCTCTCATTGGAACTCTGGAGGCATCCCTCTAGATATTGATGGTGTTGGAGCTACGGAATATTGGTGACAGATAGGAAGGAAGTAGTGGTGGTTTCTTACCAGAAAGGACTGGAAGAGCTGGAAGGCACCGACAAGCCAGATGTACAGGTGGGAGTACACCTTCGTGGAGGTGCCGTTGAAGGTGTTGGCCACGGCCAGGAAGGAGTAGGGTCCCACGGTGAAGAACTCCCAGTCATAGGCGCCAGAGGTGGCGATGGTCTGGTTGGCCTCAAAGAGCTGGGTCCTTGGGTTCCACTTGTAGATCACGCTATCGATGTTGTGGTTGTCGCCTGGAAGCAAGGTGCTGCAGTTAGCGGCAGGGTGGGACTCCTATGGAGTCCACAGGGGCTTCACCTGCAAGCCTCTGAGAGTCCCCTCCTTCCCATCCACCTCTGGGATTCCTCTGCCATGAGGCTGCGGGGGGGTGGGGGGGGAACCCATTCATCCCTTCAGTGTCCCGCACCCCCAGGTCCTATTCCTGGTCCTCCAACCCTTCCCTGAAATGCTGGCCCCCTTCCCAGGATTCCACCTGATGCCTCTGAGCCTCTGCAGGTGCTGTTGCCTGACGAAAGCCCTTAGGGGCTCCACTACCTTCAAGAAGTCTAGTTTGTCCCATGGCTTTCCAGGTCTGAGAGGTGGAGCTAGGTCTACATCTTACCCCTGCCCCCCTATGGCCTGGAACCTACTTTCCCTCCGTCTCCCCTTTTCAGGACAATCTCTGCATGTATTCATCCTTTGCCTGGAGGATTTTCGGCTCAGGAATGCCCTGGAAACCCCATCCTGAGCCTGTCTCTCTGGGAGCATTCACCCTGTGGAAAATACTGCTTGGGGGTCTCGGGACTCCCACCTTTGCTGCTGAGTGGGACAGCTGAAGCCTGGCAGGTAAATGCCCAGCCATGAAGACACATCGGGATGGGCCAGAGGCATCCCTCCACCCCCACCCCCATCAGAGTCCCAGGTGGGAAACAAGGTGCAGGAGTGGGGAGGAGCTGTGTGGTCATGTGGGGGGAAGTGCCCTCCCAGAAATCAGGCTTCCTGGTACCTCCCAGACCTTGCTGTCTGCTGCCCCCAAGGGCATAGCACAGTTTGTGTCTAAATGCATGTAGAGTGGGCACAGTGGCCAGAGGGACCAGGACCTTCTCAAGAAAACCAGGTCAGTTGGCAATGTCCACATCTCCTCACTCCTCCACAGCTGTGCATCCAGCGTGCCCTTCCACTGCGCCAAGCCCTGGCCTGCTGCTCAACCACAGGCAGCAGACTCCACAGAGGGATGGTCATGAGTTCAGCGTGAGAAGGGTGGCCAGTGGGCAGCTGTGCTGGGGGTTCCTGCAGGCATGAACTGTACAGCACTTTGCATTTGTCTCCCCAGTTAGACAGGTATCCCCCCAGTTAGACAGGTAACCAGGGAGACCAACCTACACTCACCCGTGTTCCCACTTAAACCCAACTGACAGGTAGTCCAAGTTGAGCCTGAAGAAACAGGCTGGGGGTGGGGGGATGACTAGTTTTTAACGGGAGAAAATTACTCAGCGGTCCTGTCGCACCCAGTTCCCAGATTGGTTCCCTTCCAGGTCCAAGGCCATACTGCCTGCATACCTTCCCGGTGGTTGGCCACGGCCAGGAAGTGCTCCCCGTTCACCTGGAAAGCCTCCCAGTCACGCGCGCTGTGGGTGGCGATCCTCTGGTATGGGGTGAACTTCTGTTTTCGAGGACTCCATTTATAAATGACGGAGAACTCCTGGCCCTTCTCATTCGGTTCAAAATTAGCCACGGCCAAAAAGATCTGAAAGAAAGCCAAACACAACACTAGGTCCTTCGGCTCTGTGGGCGGCGATGGCACAACCGTCTTTCTCAGTAGCAGTATGTCTATCCAACGCGGGGTGGGCGACACCGGCACCAAGAAACTGCCTGAACGAGGCCCGAGAAATCACCCTCACAGCTTCCATCACCTCCTCCCCAAAGAGAAGTGAAGCCATCACCTTCGGGACGAGTGAATTAAGCATTTGACAAGTTAACTTCTCCCCGCTACGTTTCAGATACGTATTAGGGATCTAATTTTGAGGTCTAGGGATCCTGGATTTTATTTATGTATTATTTATTCATTTTTAAGGCAGTTTTATTGGCATATAATTCACACATCATGATTCGATAGTTCAATCGTATTAGGAAGAGTTGTACAATCCTTATCGCAGTCAGTTTTAGAACCGTTTCTTGGTTCTGGTACAGCAGGCTGATTTTTAAGTGGATAGTTATATGTGGCCTGGACATGCTGTTACAAATATCCAAATGGCCCCTGGCAGGAAAATAAAAAGGTTCCTCACCCCCGATCCAGTGAGATGGAGGCAACATTTTGCAACGCGGAGCAATAGTTTTACCTGTAGACTTGACATGGAAATCCCAAACCTTTGGACTGCTAGGGGTTTCCCACGTGACAAAGAATCGAGAATGCGAACTTGCCCTTTTCCCGATGGTGAAATGCCTCCAGGACTGTGCCTGGTGTGTGCGGATGGTCTGATAGGACACGAACTTCCCATCGGTCCACTTGTAGATGGCGGAAGTGGTTTTCCGATTGGCTGTTGCGACAAAGAGCCCCACCTCCGGGACGATGAAGGCCTCCAGGCCCAGGGTCTCGGAGTTCGTGAACAGGCTCTGGTGCTCTTCCACGTAGTCCAGTTTTCTCTTGCCTTGCGAGAGAGAAAGACCAAACCAAACCATGGCTTCGTTAACAGTTCCCCCAACGTCCAAGCCATCCATCCTTGGGGGTCACGCTCTCCAGGGTCACATGACCCTGGAGCATGAGCGTTGGGGGTGGGGTCCGTTTATAAAGGGCCACTGGCCCTGCTGCTTCCCTTCCCGCTTATAAATCCGTTGTCATGGAGTTGACCCCAACGCTTGGCATTCCCACTGGCAGCAGCGCAGAAACGTGCCCCCTGACAGTTTCAGTGGCTCGTTTTTAAAGGGCGATTGCCTGGTCTTTCTTCCAGGGCACCTCCAGGTGGGCCCTGACCGGCAAACCTTGGGTTAGCAGCTGAGCGCTTTTACCTTTCGCTCCACTGAAGGGCTCCTGGAATGAGTACAACCACAACTGCTCTTTTGCCCCTGTAGACGAGGTCAAAGGGCAACGGCTTGGTGCTACCACGGCTTTATGATCCGAAGAAGCCTTGTGGAGACTAACGGGATGGCATTTTTACGTCCCGCCCTTAGTGGGGACTTTCCAAAGCTGTGGCTCTTACGGAAGACTTAGAAACGGAAAGAAAGGAGAAGCCTCCCAGCGGGGGCCATTCCCATTTCCTGTGGACAGCCCTTTGGGAACACTGACTGCGGATGCGTGCTCTCCTTCCCCACAAGCAGGAAGAGAGCATTTAAACATTCATGCAAAATGGAGAGTCTTGGTCCCTTGCCTCTTTGCACCTTCACAACGACTGGATGGGGAGGTTAGGAGGAGAGGAGACTACCGGGTCACCCCACTAGGGAAGCGCTCTCAGCTTTCTGCTGTCACCATTTGGAAGTGGTTCCGAGAGACTATAAGTCCCACTAATCCATGAATCATGCCAGGGGTGGGGGGTGGGAGTGGGGGTTGAATGTTTCTAAATTAAATGCATAGGCCCACCCACTGCTCCTGACACGGGCCACCATCTTCTACCTTAAGGGGGGGCCACGCTGGCTGAAGAACACCTGCCCAGGCATGTCCTGGCTTGCCCGGGATGGCCCTAGTTGATGCCTGCTTTCCAGGTATAATGATAAACAGTGTCCCCTTTCACTTCCCAAATCCTCCCCCACTGGAAGACCCACCATGGGGTCCAGGGCTGCCTATGTCTCGGTAGCCCACCTACCCCACTGTGCAGTGCCAGAGCAGTGGAGTGACATGGAAACTCTGGGTAGAGACGCTGTGGGGGTGTCAGAGCCCTAAACCTCGGGGGCCCCATGAGTCACCACCGCCCTTACCAAGCCCACCTTACCTCCTAGCACAGAGATCCACTCACTGCCGATGCACAGGTACAGCCCCTTCCGGCTGGCGTCAAACCAGAACTGGGCATCTTCCGCTTGCGTACAGCGGGGCTGTGACCCCAATGTCACCTTCACATCGGTTTCTGAGTGGGAGACCAGGGAGGATGAGTGCCCAGTAGATACATGCTCCTTGGAGCAAGACCGAGTTTGGGGTAGGGGCCACATGGACGTAAGTGTGTCCATCTTGTCTTGGCTCTTGTCAGAACTGGGAAGGGCCAACACTTTCATATCAGAGTGTACAGCCATGTGCCCAGGGGCCCTTGTACACAGGAAACCACCATGCTTTGTCACCAGGGCCAACCACAACTAGTCTAGACCAGGCCCAGGTACCTTACTTACCTGGAGGCTGCATCATTCCATAGCACAGCCAAAAGCCCCACCCCATGACAAGGATTGGGAAGGATGTGTGGCCCAGCCAGTCTTCACGGCTGGGAGAGGTCTCAGAACCCCTCACTCCCTCCACCCCCTAACTTCTTTAAGCTTCTTACAAAAGGAGACAACGATCTCTCTCCAAAGACCCCGAGAGGTGCAGTGGCCAAGCACCCAGAGGTTGTCATTTTCACCCCCCCAGTCACTCCGCAGGAGAAAGAGCTGGCGGTCTTGATGACAGCCGGGAACCCCCTGGGAAGTTAGACTCCATCACACTGCGTGTGGACTTGAGTCAGCCTCTCACAGCAGCAGCAGCACCTTCCTCAAGGTGAAGGGCTTCATGTCTCCTCTTTGAAGGCCTGGCTTCCTTGCTCCGCAACGTGCTTTACTCCCAGAGAGAACATCTGTTAACACTGTTATCACTAGACTCCAGCATCAGTCCCTTAGCAGCGTTATCAGCAGCCAGCTTGTCCATTCCTCACAGAAATCACACCCTACCCTTGCAGCTGCAGTGCACCTCTCCTGTGAACACGGGTGGTCATTCTAACGTGCCCCCGCCCCGCCCTCGACACCCAGAACTGTTCATCTGCATGCGCAGGAGTCCACCCAAACTTCAGTTTTACTGAGCTCGGTGGCATGTTTGCCCTGCTTCTTTCTGGAAACGATGCGTCCGTCCAGGATCAAGCACAACATTCTAATTCGATCACCGCACAAGGTGGCAAGTGAGCTGGGCCCTCGCCTGGTCTTCTCAAAGCTCCCGATAGGAGTAGGGAACTGAACTATATGCCCCTCACCCCACCCTCACCCCCACCCCAACCTGGGC